AGTAAATGCAGTTCTGATCACTGCGCATAGGAAGGTCATGATTGCACTAGAGGGTGTGCAGAGGAAATTCACCAGGATGTTGCCTGGGATGGAGGATGTTAGCAATGAAGAGAGGCCAGATAAGCTCAGGCTATTTTCGTTGGAGCAGAGAAGGTTGAAGGGGGAACTGATTGAGGTGTATAAGATTATGAGGGGCATAGACACTGCGAATAGATAGCAGCTGTTCCTCTTGGTCAAAGGTCCAAGAGAAAGAAGGCGCACTTTTAAAGCAAAAGACAGGAGGTTTCAACGGGAATGAGAGTCAAATCTTTTCACCCAAAGGGAGGTGAAGTTCTGGAATGCACTGCCTGAGGGCAGTTGAGGTGCGTAACTTCAAAACGTTTAAAAAGTACCTGGACAAACACCTGTAGTGTTATAACATTCAAGATTATGGGTCTTGTGGGAAAGTAGGACTAGTGTAGGTATTAGTATATTTTTCACAGTACAGACTCAATGGGCCAGACAGCCTCTTTTACACTGTATGATTCCATTCTGAGTGTGCAGCTGAAACCATAGCCACCAGTGATGGAGCGACAGAACTTGGGGATGCTCAAGGTGACAGAATTAGATGAGTGCACATAACCAGGAGGAGTGGCAAGCTGGAGTTGACCACAGAAAAACAGAACTATCAAGCCAGAGTAGCTTCCAAACAAAAGCAACTAGAAATGAGCAATAAATGCTGGCCAGCCAGCAACACTTGATTCACATGAATGAATTTCAGAAAAAGATACTATTCAATATGAAACTCCTTTTCCCATTCCTCTCTGAAAGTTACAAGGATCAAATTTGCAGCACAAGAACATTCACCACTTTACCAGACGAGTTCACCCACAACACTGAAGAAATCAGACAACCAGTGCAACAAACCAATATGCTTGAACACTGCAACCACCACTGGACACCCACTAGCAGTACTGCAGCTAAATATGAGAATTCACCCCAACAATTCACCACACTTCCTTCAACAACACCTTACTAGCCCAGCAACCACTATCAGGAAGAGGAATGGGAAAAGAAAAGATGCACAGAGGATCACTATCAATAGGTTTCCCTCTTGTGTCAGAAGTTGAGTTGGCCCTGACCTCTTCCACTTAAGAAGCCCCCAAAACCTCACAGCAGTTGGGAAGATAGCAACTGAGGCAGCAAATGAAAAAGCTGCTCACGGTAGGGAGGGGGAAGCAACAGGACCACTATTATCGCCAACCATTATTCCAAAAAGGTGTAGAAATGTGGAGTAAAACCAAGATTTTCTTTTGGTGGGGGGGGAATTGAAGCTGATATCGCTGAGCAATGCCACGGGTGATCCAGCGGGAGGTCTGAAGTCCCAACAACTGCCCAAACGCCCACTGAGCCCTGGAATACCGATGTGCCCCCTCCCGCAGACTCTGCTCCATAGGTCCCGCACCTCCACAACTCCCAATGGCGGGGCTACCTACGCGGACCAGCAAGCGGGGCCGCCATGTAAAAATAAGAGACACACCGCGGCCTGCGGCCGATCGATCATCCGTCACAGTTTAAACATAAAATCTACAAAACATTCTAAATAACTGGCAGAGCCGATAGAGGGAAGCCCGGGGATTCATAACAGCCAGTTACTCCCACCGTAAAGCCAGTAGTTTTTCAGGATGAATTAGGATTCTCCAGTTAACAGAAGCAGACAACCTACAATCGCCTACCATTTTCTTGGGCAAGCGCAGGAAAAGACAGGCCTGGAGGGCGGGGCCTGTATTTCCACGTGATAGGACCTACCATCCATTTCATGGAGGGGAGGAGACAGCGCGATCCATTATGTCAGACGTTTAACTTTACACAAACATCGTCGTCTTTTAGAAGCTTACTTTTTTGTTTTCTCCATGTCCCATCGTTGTAACTCATTTAACGACGAGGTTCAGTCATCATTGAGTTTTGTTGATTTTGCTTACCGGCCCTCTCCCTGAGATCGTGCATTCCAGAGACTGTTTCCGGTTCCGGGTCGAGGTTCAGCAGGCCCCGGGTTTGAGTGGAAGCAGTGCGATCGCCCGGCGCCGATGCAGCCTGCGGCTCAGTAGGTGCGGGTGTCGGCGAGGGAGTGGCTTATCGTCTCCATTTAACACTTGCTCTTTTAACATAAGCAGGGGCAGATGGCGAGAAACACACTCTCCAACAGGTTCCGGAAAGTCGACGTTGACGAGTACGATGAGAACAAGTTTGTGGATGAGCAGGAGGAGGCGGTGGAGCAGCAGGGGCCCGACTCGCTGGAAGTGGACACTCTCATCAGGCAATATCCTTATAGCCCGTCTCCCTCTGTGTGCGCGTGTTTGTGAGAGACCAGGGGCTGGCAGAGCGCCGCATAATCCCGGGATGGAAGGTGACAGCTCTCCCCTCCCCGTGACCACGGACCTGTTACTCTTTCCCCCCCCTGGGAACCGCACCCGCTCTCAAACTGCTGCCGACTATTAACTGCGCTCCCGGGCAGCCTGGAGCACCCTTCAACTGAAATTAATGACATTGCTTTCGCACTCATCCTTCACTGGATTGCTTCATTTTTATCGAGTTGTCACTTAACTGACGACTTCAGTGCGAGTTTATTATATCATGTGCAGAATTTGTCATTTTGGAGGTTTGTTTAAATACCTTTTTTTTTTACTTCCAATGTTTTCCCCGCTGTGATCAGCACCTTAAGACTTCACTATTATCTGATCTCAGTGTGGAAATGGGTAGAAGGACGAACGGGGTTACTGCTGCTCACTTTGTCCCTAAAAATAGCAAAGAGGCATCATTGTACAAGCTGTGACTGTAGTAACAATCAAACGTCAAATGAGACAAAAGATAAAGCCACCCAAAATGACATAAAAGAAATCAATTTATCAGAACTCAGTTCAAGCTCCGAGCGTACCGTTACTAAAATGAAATCATGATCCCAAAAACGTTGTTCCACCATCCAACTGGCACCGCAGCCCACAGTTTGGGAACCCCTGATTTGAGGTTTTGTTTAAGTTGGAAAATAGCGATCATTTTCCGTCACAATGTTAATGTACAGCCGGTATTTGAGCATTTTTAGCCAGGTCCTGCATTCTTGCAAATATATAAATTAGTTACAGGATTAGGCCACTTGACCCCTCTGCCACTCAATAAGATTCTTGTGCACTGCTAGTGTCCTTGAGCCAGAAGGCCTGGGTTTTAAGTCCTACCGGCTGCACAAGTTTGTCGTAACACTTCTGATAGATAGAGAAAATAAATTGAATTTGATTGTGGCTGATCTGATTACTCCACGTAATAGTCAGATGGGGATAACCTTTCAACCACACACTTGTCAGGAATCTATTTACCTGTCTTAAAAAATTCAAAGACTCTGCTTCCATCACTTTTTGTGGAAGACTTTTCCAAAGACTTTCTGGGAAAATTCTCCATATCTGTCTTAAACAGGTGACCCCTTAGAATCTCCCACGAGAAGAGACTTCCTTTCCATATGCACCCTTTCAAGGCTTGTCAGGATTTCGTTTCAATTAAATCACCTCTTACTCTTCTAAACTTCAGAATCAAGGTTAGCCTGTCCAGCTTTTCTTCATAAGACAACCTGCTCGTTCCAGTTGTGAGATGATAAAAACTGAAAAAACTGTGGATGCTGTAAACCAGAAACAAAAAACAGGAATTTCTGGAAAAGCTCAGCAGGTCTGGCAGCATCTGTGAAGAGAAATCAGTTAATGTTTTGGGTCCGGTGACACTTCCTCTGACCCTGATTCTGATTTCTCTTCACAGATGTTGCCAGATATGATGAGTCTAATAAACCTTCTTTGAACTGCTTCAAGGATATCTTATTTCTCTCTTTCAATAAGGAGACCAATACTGTGTGCAGTACTGTAGACAAATACCCTGTAAGGCTGAACAGTAATCTACATTTGTATTCAATTTCCTTTACAATAAACAGATTCTATTAGCTTTCCTAAATACTTGCTGTACCTACACACTAACCATGTGATTCCTTTGAGGACACCCAGATCATTCTGCGCCTTGGAGCTCTGCAAACTCACCATTTATGTAATGCTTCTGTCTAAATCTTGCAGTCAAAATGGGCATTTTTACATTTTCTCACCTTGTGTACCATTTCCCAGATTTTTGCTGACTCATTTAAACTACGTTCAATCGTAGTCTCCTGTGTCCTCTTTTAGTTTACTTTCCTACCTGTCTTTAGTGATTATATCTTTGGCCCTTTCGACCAAGCTGTCCATATAAATTAAAAGTTGAAACCCCAATACTTAGATTTGCCAACCAAAAATGATCTATTGACACTTCTGTTTCCTGTTAGCGAGCCAATTTTCTATCCATGTTATTTTTGAGATGGTTGCACTGTTTAAATGAACTCGTTTTGTTTCCATAAGTCACTTTTTTTTTTGTTGGCATTGTGTGGGTGTCATTGGCAATGCCAGGGTTTATGCCTGTGCCAGTTGTTATAAACTGGTGAATTACATTCTTGAATTGCTACTGTCCATGTACTGGCTCACCAATCTTTGTGTACAAAATCAATTTTTCTGTGCCATGAGTTCTGAATCACCATAATTTTTAACATATTCATTCACAGGATTTGTGTATCTCTGGCTAGGCCAGCATTTGTTGCCCAATCCTAACTGAGATGATGCATTCTCGAACTGCTGCAATCTGTGAATGGATATGTATGCCCATGGTGCTATTAGGAAATGAGCCCCAGAATTGCTGGATGATTAACTAAAATCTTTTTTGTTTTGGAAAAAAAAAACACAATCATCTCACCAGCTTCCATAGTGTTGTTGGATTTATTCCAGATTAATGTTATTACAGATTAATCTCACTACAGTTGTAAAGGTCCTGCAAATGATGTGATTTATGGCACCAAAATGCTACTCAACTATTGGAGGCACAGATAGGAAATCAGAAAACTGAAGTCTTACTTAAGTAGGAAAATTGTTCAGAGGTTTTAAAGAAAACCTTTATCCCCCTCAGACCACTTACTTTCCCACTACTTATCTCTTTCCCTATGTCATTCACTGTTTCGTCTTCCCTTGTTTTGTGCTGTTATGAACATAATTATTAAGAGCAGGGCACTTTGTCCTTCAAGTTTGACTCACTATCAAGATCACAGCTGACCTGATTTAGAATACAACAGCCTTTATTGTCATGTACACTCGAATGAGTGCAGTGAAAAGTTTGTAATGTTTGGCACCATCTTAGGTACAGAGGACTTTGGTGTAAATACATTTTTACTCTATAACTATACTTAAGTGTTGTTAGAGAGTTTAAAAAAAATAGATTAGCATGGGAACAATTAAAGTCCAGAAATGACAATAAGTACTTAAGTTCCAGTCCATGCCCACTGGCCCCAGAGCACAAGGCCATGCTGCCTCCAGGTGCCAGCCTCCATCTGGGACTTGCTCTGCCGCTGCCGAGGGACTCGGCCCACACTCACTCTGCCCCGCCGCAGGACATGGCCCATGCTCGCCCTGCTCGACTCCAGTCTCCAAGTAGGATAGGAGGAGGGCTGAAAGAAAAGCGATAGGGACTGGTCAGCAGAGGAGTTCCAAATGGAGTGTCCTACTCTGCTGCCATCTTGCAGTTGAGTTTATACCCTTAACTCGTGTTCATGCCTGCCCCAATAATGTTTCACCCCTTTGTTTAATCAATAATTTATCTCTGCCTTAAAAATCTTACTAATTAGTTGAGATGAACAAAGCGGAACAGTAAGGTGAAAAGTCTTGTTCACATTTCTGGATAGTAACAGCAGTTGTACAACCTCCTTTTGGATTCATTTCAGTTTTCCTCAGAACTGATATGTATGCTGATTCATGGAATGTTTCTTAATTGAACAAAAGTATTTTTCTAGATGGAAATTTGTACTCTTGAATGATTAATGATGTCAGTTTTGAGATCTCTAAGAGGCCACAACATGATAGAACTTTACATCCAATTTGAAGAGTGGGATTAAATATATTGAACTTGATGAGCCTATAAATCTGAAACAGAAACAAATTGCTAGAGAAACTAAGCAGGTCTGGCAGCATTTATGGAGAGAACGTAGGGTCCATGTTGAGTCCATTGAGCCTTATTCAGAACTCCAGAGCTCTGTTCTGAAGAAGGGTTACTGGACAAATAATGTTAAATCTGCATTCTCTCCAGATAATGCCAGGCCTGTTGAGATTCTCCAGCAATATCTATTTTTAAGGACAAATAACATGGGCCTGAAAGGGGAGAGAATGTGAACTGGGATCCTAGGCTAGGGGATAGATTGATTAACAAGCAGTGGAAGACTTTTGAGGGGATATTTTGGAATGCTGACTATCTTGCGTGTAAACCTGTAACTAAAGAACACATACTGGGTTTAAATGTTTGAAATAAAACTTACTGTTCCTTAACCAGTAATCCTGTACAGGTGATATGCTTAGTGCGTTCCATGCAGCATTAAGAAATCCTCCAGTCAACATGAAGAATCAAGCAGTTAAGGTATTTGATTAATCTAGTTTCTTGTAATTATTTGACATTGTATTCAATATATTCTGAAAACACAGTGACTTGTCTCCAAGAATTCATCCAAATATCTCGAGCCTCTTCTATCTGCAAAGGATAAATGTTGTGCAGCTAATCTTATACAATTATACTTCTGCTTTCAGTACATTAATTTATGGGATGACATCAACTGAATTCAGAATGTCTGCCAGATTTCAGTTAATTGCCTTTTGATGACACTTCTAAATGATAAAAGTAACCATTTGTTATTTCCCTTATTGGTATAGACCCTTAATATTTGGTCTGTTATCTACTTAAAACAAAGCTATTGCTGGATGTGGCAACAAGTGTCATAACATAGATTAGTTGAACCCCCCCACAGCTGCAAGTACGTGCAGTGAAAATTACCTAAATTTACTATATTGCAAAGAATTCTACTCTGCAGTTATAATACTTGTTGAACTACTGAGCAATAAGTTTTGGAAAATCGGAGGCATTATATTCAAATAATGGCTAATAGTGTTTCATCTTCAATCCTGCAAGGTAAGGACTAAAAGTTGTTTAATGACTACTAATGGCCATCCTTTTTTTAAATTTAAAATCTGTAGAAGTGCAATAAAAACATACAGAATACGTTGTAAATTGAACTTTTTTTTCCTCTACAGGAACGGGCACAGGCAATAGTTCTCAAAGTCCTTACATCCTTTAAAAGTAGTGAGATAGAACAGGCTGTTAAATCATTAGATAGAAATGGTGTCGACCTATTAATGAAGTACATTTATAAAGGTTTTGAAAAACCCACAGAAAACAGCAGTGCAATATTGCTGCAGTGGCATGAAAAGGTAAGTTTCTTTTTCTTTAATTATTTTGTTTTATGATTAAAGAGAAAGACCAGCGATGACCTGTTTCGATGTCTATCCCAATGATAAGTTGTGACAGCCATTTAAGACACTTGCTCTTGTAAAATTTGGCCTGCAGGCAAAGAATCTGGTTTCATTATGCTGTCACTAATCATTAATTGCTGAATAGAATGTATATGTAAAAATAGGTCAAGGTCAAATTTACAATGTTACAATTTTCAATTGTCAGCTTGATTTGCAATAACTTCGCCAGAGTCAGAAAGCTGTGGGTTTGTATTGATAATGTTGCTACCAGAGCTGAAGTTGTGAAATACTGACCTCAGATCCCATGATAGTGTGCAACAAATAGGGAGAGTTGATTTGGGCAAAATTCCTTTCTGTGCAGCCAACAAATTACCTGTGACTCATCAACTGCTTTATCACAGGGCTTTGCTGTGGACAAATTGGTTGCTGTACTTCAAAATGTAATTCAGTGGTCATGAATTATTTCATATGTGCTACATAAATGCACATTGCTTGCATGCAGGTTTTGTAATCAGAATCAGCATAGTCCTACAAGACCACAGGGCTGCTCTCTCATTTTGAGAGATGACTGACGGTGGTTTAACCGGAGGGACACCACATTCATCATGGTAATCTCAGCTGGTGCAGGAATTGAACCTATGCTGTAAGCCAGCTGCCCAGCCAACTGAGCTAACCAACCCCCTTTTATTAAATACTGAGCAGATAAATACAATTTGTTCAGCTACATAAATTTGCTGTGATATTCCTAACGCACATCATCACCTATTTCCTCCTCTGTAACGTCGTCCCAGCTGGCTCTTGCTTCAGCTTATCTTGTACTGAAACCTGCATTGCTACTGCTATCTTTTATACTTGATCATTCCTAGCCGGTGTCCCTGTTGCATCCTCTGTGAACCGAAGCATTCAAAAAGTCTGCTTCCTTTGTCCTAATTGCACAATGTCCTGCCACTCCATTTCCCCATTCTTACTAGCCTACAGTGAATCTTGGTGAATCCATACATTGCTGCACACCATCCTTCCCACCCCCCAACCCCCTCCCCGTTCTGGCTTTGCCAGTGCCATAAGCTTTGGAATTCCCTCCTGAAACCTCTCTTCTAGGTGCCTTTGAAATTTGGTTAAAGAGATTGAGTCATTTGGCCCAATATCTCTCCTGTTGGTAGGGTGTCAGTTTTCTTTTGTAAAGCACCTTGTGATGTTTTATGTTAAAGGTGCTGTATAAATAAATTGTGATTACATAAAGCTCAATGACTTGAATGTATTTTCTTTCTCTATCCCTTACAGGCATTAGCAGTGGGTGGAGTAGGTTGCATAGTAAGAGTTCTCACTGCAAGAAAAACAGTTTAAAAAGTTACATGATGGATTGACTTGATGAGGACTGAAAGCTGTTGGAAAGTGTGACGAAGCAACAGCAAAAGAAATATTTGAATCCATTCTTTAAAGATTAATTCATACTAAACGAAATTATTTTGAAAAATCACCTTGGAATGCTCTTATCTCAATAGGTTGTGGTGGCAAGTTTGCATTACTGTATGTTTTGGCAAAGTTTGACATGCAAGGTCTTGCACGTTCTCAGTTCTCTTAGAATTTTTGTTTTTACCTTTTTAAAATCTGTTGAGAAACCAAATAGTGTGGCTAATAAAGGTACATTTACATGATGGGAAACCAACTGACGTGCATTTTACCCTGAATTGTTAGGCCACATGGTGGACTATTAGGACTTCATTGTCACTATATGCAGTATTATAACTTTTTTTATTTCTTTTGGGTCACTTTCATATTGTCTTTTGTACAGTTATTGGATACTTGGTATGATAAATATGGCAATAGTATTAGTTGAACTACCAGGGATGAATTTATTGTGAAGTGCCTGCTGCAAAATAAAGCTCTTGGATCATCATCTGACAGCTTTTTGTTGTATTATAATGTCAAAATTTAAGGTTGGATTTCTAACTTAAAGCAGTAAGGAGATGTCTACTAGATGCAATCTAGTGTAATGTCGATTTAATAAATCCTGTAATAAAGTAAAAGTAAATTTGTTTGAGCATCACTGAAATCTTCATGGGGCTTTGTAGTACAAAATAATTAATTAACTAATTAATTAATGCAATTCATGATCAACTAATTTGCAGAGTTTCTCAATGCTAGCTGAGATGACCAATGGAAATATTAAGGGTTTTGATCAGAAATAATTAAAGCAACTCATTCTGTTCCTTCTTTGAGGAATAACATTTCAGAAGTATTTTAAAGGTAGTTTATTCATAAGATCTGCTTTGAGTGTGCAACATTGTATATTATACTTTATATTGCAACAAAGATTTAAAGCTATGACCTGGTTGAACTGTGCACCAGGAAAAATGAAATCAATATTGAAAAGGGCATTGGTGTGATGTTTTTACTCAATGGGTGTAATAGTCTTTTAAATTTAATGTCCCAACAGCTATCTCCAGCTACCCTGGCTGCTATGCATTGGCTGAAAATATGGCCATCATATATATTGAGGCAGTTTAAAAATCAGAACTTGAGTCAACAGTGCAGACCAACTAGACTGATTGTGAATGGTATTGCAATGTACATGTTAATTTTTTTAAATGAGCCTTTGGTGATACATTATTACTCACCAGTTATTAGTGGTGACTCATCTTGAAGCAAAATACAGACATTATCAGAACACTGGTCTGAAAATGCCACAGTAAATTACACTAGCTTCTTTATGTTGTTGTCAAGATTTGACACTGAATTTGCATTATCTACACCGAGATAGAACCCTCCTCAATTATTTAACATAACACTATACATAAGACAGTCATTTAAAAAAAATGCAAAACCCATTTATGAAACTAAGTTACCCAGTACCTTGCAGTGGTTAGGTATGTGTGTATATATTGGTGAATGCATTCCATAAAAGCTAATGTACTGAAACATTAATTTTCCCAGAACTGCATGCCACCAGCAGTAACAAATAGCTGAATTTAGAAATGTAAAATTCACTAATGAGTTAGGGAAACTGTTTGGTTTCAGTATGATTAAACTAACTTCACAAGTCATAACCTATTTGATTTTTTGAGGCTTGCATCTTCTCCATTCTTCATCTCCTATACAATCACTAAGGTGTTTTGACATGGCCCAAGCAATGAGAAGGCAATTTAATTACAATATTAAGCATGCAATGTTCATTGAAATCCCAAGTCCTTACGACCATCTTGTTTAAGGTTAGTGAATCCAGCATTTTAGTACATTTTGATTCCTATACCTATTCCATTAAATGATTTACATTTCCATCTCATAAGCACATACTGAGCTTGTGAAAGAATTATAATTCAAAATAGAGTCCTCACCCAATTTGTGTCAATGTTAGTTTGTTTTTAAAAAAGAGCTCACCCAGTTTTTACTTCCACTAACTAGGTGACCTACTTCAAGTAAGGATAATTACATTTTGATAGTTTAAATTCTAATAATGTGGTCCAGGAGATGACTGACCAAGCTTGTCACCCAAGGTAACAATTACACTGATTTCACTGGGAAATGAATTATATACAATATGCCAAAGTTTGGTCCATCGGTTTATGTAGGTTTTTCACTAATGCTCGAGTGTTCAAAAGTAAACCAGGATGGCAGCCACAGCAGTCAAAGATCCAACTCAACTTCCCACAGACAAAATGAATTTCAAAAGGATTACTACTACGAAGCTAGCCAATGAAATGGTGAGATAACAAGGTGTAGAGCTGGATGAACACAGCAGGCCGAGCAGGAAGGCTGACGTTTCGGGCCTAGACCCTTCTTCAGAAAGGGTGGTCACTTAAAATAACTAAGGTCAACTGCAGCACTGCCACAGGTTTGAAAAAGTATGCCATTTGGCGAAGAACAAATGGTTACTTCACTTCTGCCCTTATTCTATTAAAACTAAAGGTGGTTTTTGAGTCTGAACTAATTAATGCTTCTTTCTAATGTAAGTGAATTTAGTCCGAATATTTTTACATGCAATTTTAAACCTGAACATTTAGTCCAGTGAAACATTTAGAAGATTGGCATGGCCACTTTGATTCTTTTTCCTAGCTTATTCAATTTCTGTGCATTCTTGCAAGAAAAATACTTAAGACAACAATTTGGATACCTTTGCCACTTTTTAGATTAGTCCATATCAACTGACAAGTGTCATTCTCAACAATTGAAAATGCAAACACATTCTAGAGCACTTGTTATGCAGCCCAGTGTTGCTTTTCAACCTAACCTAACTGCACAAGCTGAAATTTTACTGAAAACCTCAACTCCGTATACTTTCATCATGAAATTATTTGTTCCAGCATTTTACCTAATCAAAGAATTCAACCACAATTTCAGCAAGTCTAAAGGAATTTTAATTGGAAAGTATTGCACCTACAAATTATTCCCAAGCAAACAGGTCAGATGAGGTATCACTTGCTTTATCCAAACCAGGTTTAAAATGTCAAGGGAGAGAAATTAGTTGCTAAGGCCAATCGATGCATGTACAAAGATTACATGTAACAGCATTTTTTATACAAATAAAAGTGCATTAGTTCATATGTAACATATATATATATTTACATACAATGTTGCTCCTGGTTTCACAACAGCAGGGTGAAAAAAATACTGATGGATCATAATTATTTCAACAGCAACTTTTTCTGCCTCTGAAAAGCTGTAAATAATTTATGCATCTATTTTTACATCCAGTGTGTAACAACCTCAATTTCTATACACAATACAGGTACCCTTTATAAAGGCTCCTTTGGAATGTTTAATTTTTTTTCTCTTTTGCATTAACCCAGGTAACTAACTATATATTATCCTTGCCCAACTGTTTATATAGATATCAAATCCCTTGTTTTTGGTTGTTCCAGCATCATTTTCATACAACACTACTGCATTCTTAAACTGCAATAAAACCACATGATAACAATTAATCAGCAAGAACACATGCAAGGGATCTAAACTAGGTAATGAATCAATAACAGCTCATTTAACAATTATTAGAATATTTGAGAGAAACGTGGAAAAAGGACTACAGTGATACTTTGGACCAATAAGCAGACAACTAATTGCAATATTTAATTTGGTTTCTTGTTTTCAGTTACCTCCTATTGGTATGATTTATCTTGCAGGTTTCCAGCTTTATTAATCCAAATGACACCAAAATGATTAAACTAAAAATGTAAATATGATTTTAAAAAGCGTTCTATTTGGGCCATGATACTGAGTTCAAAAGCAGTTATGGACAGCACTGCTGCCTGCTCTGTTGTAACTGTTAGGATGTTTGGGAAGGAGCATAACTTTAACAGTAAGGAAAAAAAGGCTTTAAAAAGATGTTTTAAGCATTCACTAATTTCTATCAATGAAGGAGGAGCACATTTACAAAGATGCAGACTATGACAGCAATCACTTCAAACAGTGTTTCATTCAAATCGGCTCAGGACTGTAATAATGCTACAGAGCCAAAAAGAATTGTTCCTCGTGTATGTTTAGAAACTGCAGAATTTCAAACCCATAATATATTTGTTCACAATGAATTTCATTCCCCATAGGAGAACATTTTCATTTGCATTTAAAAGCTGCATTAATATAAAGTACCAGTTATTAAATACTTGTAAACAGCTGAAAAACTTATAATCCTGTATTAAAAACACTGTCATAACAGTGACTGAAAACACTAATAAGGATATCTTATTAACTGTAGTGTTCATCAAATGAATTATGTTGATAGTTTCTTCAATGTGCACATTCTTGACATTGCACTTGGTTCACTGCCAGTGAGGGGGAGGTCGACCAGTTATTGACGGACGTATAATACCTTTAGGAGTAGGTTTTGACCCAAACCAAGACATCTACAGTGTAAACAGAATAATATTTAGTAAACCCACTTGATGTTATTCATTAAGAGTAGAAGCAGGTAAGACTCAGTGAATAAGTAGCAACAGACTATGCCCTACCTTATATTCTAGGGATTCCTTTAGCAAGTTTTCTTCTTCACGTGTAAAGTTAAGTAGCATAGATACTGCTTTCACCAGTTGATAAGCCTGTGACAAAACACAGATCTGATTTTTTTTTTTCTTTTTTATTAGGTCACAAAGTTGTCATGCAACTTTCTGGCAGGAAAAATACTATCCATGAATTAGCAAGGAAATTGATAAACTAAGTTCCTGTAATTCACAAAACTATTTTAAATGTACATTTTAAGTATAAGTCAAATTTCTTATGTGAAAATTAATTAAAGGAGTGTTCCAGGATAAAGTCCTACAGTGGGTAACCACTGTGCAAAAAGGCAGCCCTATTGGTATGATTTATCTTGCAGGTTTCCAGGTTCTCAAGAACCACGTTCTCAAGGCTGTCCAAGATGGGCAATAAATGCTGAACCACCAGCAATACCCACAACCGGTGACTTTTTCTTTAAAAAGTTCATTCAATAGAATCATTAAAATTATTTGCCTCAGTTTCGGATTCTAGCCACCATCTTTTTATGTTACTGAAAGCTAGCCACAAAAAAATTGCACTCCATTGCCTAGCCTTTGCATCTACTGATGGAAATCCCATGGAATTTTGACACCTGGAAGCTTTCGCTGAGGTCATGGTTATTGTGAAAGGCAGTTTCTGAAAGTTGGTAAAGGAAACACATGGCAGGCTCTTTTCCAACTTTATTTTGAAGGCAGAACAGTGAGTGACCTCTGTGCTTATCAAGTTTTATGTTTTAAGTTTCAAATGTCTGTTAATTCAGTTAAAGACACTACTTGTTTTACAAGACCGTTTCTATACAGGTTGCATTTGATTAAACTGCTGATAGCAGAAACAGTATTTGCTGCACACACTATTGCAATGCAAACAATCACAGTGCACATTGCCAAGAATGTTCTTCACTCCACATAATCCTTTCTAGTACAAGAGCTTCAGTCAGTCGCAACTGTGTCCAGTTCTGGTCCCCTAGTGTAAGGTCCATTGAACTAGGGAGGGGCAACTGGTTGTTACCTAAATTATATGCTCTAATTATCAAGCATAGACTTGGAGAACTAGTCTGTTATGCTTTGAAAAAGTGAAGACTTCGGAGATATGACTGACGTGTATAAAATAATGAAGGAATTTAGTTGAGGTAGGGAGGCTAGAGGGTTTTGGAGGCATCAGTGCAGCTTATAAAAGCATATGATAGCTTTTAGGAAATACCCAACTTAAAAACATCATCGACCTTTGGAATAGGTTAGTACTGGCTGCGAATTCACACAAACCTTTGAAAAGGAGTTGTAGGAATCATTAGAAGGTAGTTCGGTTAATGCCAGTGAAGCTTCTGAGATGACCTTTAGACCCCAGGTTTTACTCTATATGGATATTAGGTTTCTCTTCATCTCTCCCAGAAAGGTGCTTAGCCATTGAAGAAAGTAGTGTGATGAGGTCATTGGTATATTCAGCTTGATGTTCCAGTAGGGTTTTGCTTGTCATTTTCCAGATACTTCATGTCTAATTCTCAGTCAGGCTCAAGTGCTAAACTGCACGTCTGAATTCTACATCTACTGGTCACCAAATCACTGGAGAATTATTCTCCTTCAGCTTTTAAAACTATAATAACAGATCTGCCTTTAATTCCCAAAAAATGATAAATAAAACAGGTATTCTATTGAGTACTTGTACTTTATTGCAATTATGAGTAGCTCACCTCAGATTCTCGCACAGACATAAATTTGAGAAGAACATGTTTCAGATATTCAAAATTTATCTCCCTGGAGTCATTAAGATCTGAATTGTTTACAACTGTGGTGGAATTACTGATGCTGGTTGGTGGTTCAAAGAAAGATTTCTCCCGGACTTCAGCAGGTTCCAATTCTGGTTTCATTTTCTTTAATTGAGAAAAGATTTAATACGGCAATCAATCATAAATCCACATTTTAAAAAATAAAAAGAAAGTCTGAGCTGCCGATCTTTTTGTTTGGCGTATCGTGTAGAAATCCATTACCATGTTTATGAGTTTTTAACTCAAGTTATAAACATACAAATTGAGAGATAAGCCAATTGGCCCCTCAAGCCAACTATCATTTCAGAATATGGCTGATCTGACTGTGTTCTTAATTCCCTTTCCTACCTATCGCCTATATGATTTTGATTCCCTTGTTAGTTAAGGATGAACTGTGCCTTAAAAATATTCAAGGACTCTATCTCCACCGCTCTTTGATAAGGAGAGTTCCACTGACTCACGAGAATTTTTTTCTCTCAAAACATCAAAACTTTCTCAACTTATTTTTAAACTATGTCCTTTAGTTCTAGTCTCTTCCACAAGGTGAAAACATCCTTTCAGCATTGAGCTATTGAGGAATTTATTCATGTGTAACCTGTTTGCCTGATAGGGACATTTCCCATTTACCAAGATCCAGAGAACATAGGCATGCTAAGAATAAATGCTTAAATATGCTCAAGCATGTACAAAGCTACTGCTGGAATCTAACCCAGTAAAACTGCACATCTAATCCAGTACAGACCATAGTCACTTCCCAGGTTCTCAAATGAAGAATTAACAGAAAGCAGTTTTGTAAACATTCACAATTATTTTCTTTAAAAACAAGAACTTAAATAACCTGGAACATGATATGCTAAAGCTGGTTCCCATTAATGAATGTCTGACGTTGCCCAAAATAGTAAATCACAAAATTTAAAACTTCAGTTGTTTTAACAGGTGAGAAATGAAAACATAGCCAGTTAATTTGAATTCATCAGATCTAAAGTCATGAACAGTTTAAATTGGAAAAACATTGCCATTAATTTGAACCACGGGTGAAAGAAACTAAAACCAAAGACTGACATTGGCAAATACAAAAGCAAGATATTGAGGGTATTGTAATCTTTTAAAAAAATGCAGAAAATGCTGTAAATACTCAGCAGATCCAGCAGCATCTTCAGAAAGAAACAGAATTAACATCTCAGGTCTCTGATCTTCAAGCATCATTGACCTGAAACATTAACTCTGTTTCTCTCTCCACAGATGGCCCCTAACCTACAGGGACTAAATTGGATTTGTCAAACAAATAAAAACACTATTAATTAGTCGTATTTTTTATACTAAAGCTACGTGATGAAAAGGAAAGTATTCTGGGAACAATTCTCCAGACAATGTTATTTCAGTATCAGGTAGAGACATTAAGCTGCAGGCATCAGCTAAACAGTTTAGGATGGTGGCATCTGCCATACTTTACACATGTGCAAAATCTACTTCTGACCCATTTTCAGGTTTGATTCATTGAAAAGAAAAAATCCTAAGTAATCTGTTTAAATAATGTAACTTAATGCAAGCTTTTTACCAATTCTTTCTGTAGTGTCTTCTTCAATTCTGTTAGCCTCTGCAGCAGTTGTTTAATAGTCTGAGGGAAGAAAAAGATTTAAAACTATGAAATCTATAGCGATGGACACAAACAAATCATTAGATGAAACAATTTAAATTTAGAATTTTAACCATACACTAAAAGATTAGGGAAATCATTAGCAATCATTCCAAATTTTTTGGATCACTGACCGAAGTAAATCAAGTATTCATGAATCCAGGGAATGAGAGAAGAAACAAGTTTAACATGCCCCCACCTCAACTCAGAAGGTTAGCAAAATTAAATGGTGAATCTACAAACAAGGAACAAGAGTCAGCCATTTGGCCCTTCAAGCCAGCTCTGCCAGAATCATAGGGATCTCCAGCAGAGAAAATGGCCCTTCAGACCGTCAAGTCTGCACAAGTCAAAAACAACCACAGAACTATTCAAATCTAATTTTCCAGCACTTGGCTCATAGCTTTAAATGCCTTGGCATCAAAAGTGTACATTCTCCTCTACCACTGTTTCAAATAGTGGCTTTCAGAACGCCACCACCCTCTGGGTTAAAACATCTTCCTCACATCCCCTTTAAACCTCCTGACCCTCATCTTAAATATACGTCCCCAGCCGCCTGATCACTGATCCCTCCACTAAGGGGCAAAGTCTCTGTCTACCTGAGCTAAGCCCCCATAATTTTTTATGTTTCAGTCATGTCCCACCTCTGTCTTCTCTGATCCAGGGAAAACAAGCCCAGTCCATCTAATCTCTCTTCATAACTAAAACTCTCCAGTCCAGACAACAGAGATAACAAGGTGTACAGCTGGATGAACACAGCAGGCCAAGCAGCATCAGAGGAGCAGAAATTTCTGAGAAGGGTCTAGACCCGAAACGTCAGCCTTCCTGCTCCTCTGATGCTGCTTGGCCTGCTGTGTTCATCCAGCTCTACACCTTGTTACCTCAGATTCTCCAGCATCTGCAGTTCCTACTAGCCTAGACAACATTCTGGTAAATCTCCTCTGCAGCCTCTCCACTGCAATCACATCCCTCCTATAATGCATATTCCAGAACTGCACACAGTACTCTAGCCGTGCCAAACCAAAATTTTATACGGCTGCTGCATGTTCTCCCTACTCTTAAATTCTATGCCTCGGCTAATAAAGACATTTCCCATCTGTCCTGATACCTTAAGAGACCAGTGGACATGCACATCAAGGTCCTTCTGATCCTTGGTGCACCCCAGTATCGTACTGTTTATCATGCATTCCCTTGCCTTGTTTGTTCTGCCAAAGTGCATCACCATTTAATACAATCATGGCTGCTCTGATTTAACTTCAATTCTACATTCCTACATATCCCCGATAATCTTTCATCCCCTTGGTAATCAATAATCTATCTACCTGTACTTCAAAATTATTTAAAAATTTTACATCCACTGCCTTTGTGGAAGAGAATTCCAAAGACTCTCAATCCTCAGAAAAGGTTCCATCATCTGTTTTAACTGTGCACATGTCCCTATTTTTAAAGTATGACCCCTAGTTTTAGATTCTCCCAGAAGAGGAAACATCCTTTCAACATTCACCTGGTCAAATCCACTCAGGATCTTACATGTTTCAATTAAGTCGCATCTAAGTCTCCTAAACTCCAGGCAGGCCTAACCTGTCTAACCTGTTACCTGATCTAGTCAACCTTCTCTGAAATGTTTCTAATGCATTAATATCCTTCTGTAAGTACAGTGTTCTGTACTGTACACAGTATTCGAGATTCAGTCTCACCAACATCCTGTACAATTGAAGCATAATCTCCTATTCTTGCATTTAATCCCCCTTGCAATAAACCACAGCATTCTACCAGCCTTCCTAATTACTTGCTGAAGGGGAAATATTACAACTTTCTGGTTTACTACAAAATTGAATTAGTCTAGCCTCAGCAAAATTTACTCTAACTGGTTGGAGTTCCTCAGCCCAACGATCTCCAATGAGTTTAATGAAAAGCTCGCCTGGTGCTAAGGCACTGGAATACACTGTGGTACAATAAAGAAACAATTGCATATGTATTTAACATGTCTGATTAGATAGGTAATGGCAAAATTAGTAGGTTCTGCTCGAGCACTTTCTAGAGATAAATAAGTCAGCTCTTAGCTGTGGTCCATAGGATCTACTGGGAAGATTAACACAGTGGTAACATTGCAGGAGTAGTAATCCAGAGGCCCTGACTAACGCTTGAGAGAGACAGTTCAAATTCCACACTGGCAGCTGGTGCAATTTAAATTTAATTAATAAATCTGGAATTATTGGCCAGGAAATTTCCTGTTGACTGTCACACACTTCCTCCCTTCAACAGATCAATCAATTTTCCTTTGTGTTGAACATCAATGTTGAACATCACTGGGAAGAACACTAAGGGTAGCAGTGGCAAAGAACGTGCTCAGGGTGGGGTCTTCAATGACCAACATCAAAAATGGCTCAGTAGCATCACTACAGACCGAACTGGTCAAGTGCTGAAGGACATACTTGTCAGACTGCACATGCAGAAGGTGGTAAGAAAAGAAAAATCTAAACTTCTACTTGACTTTGCTCATCTACATGTCATGGATGCATTTGTCCATAACAGTACTGGTAGTGACAACCCCATATTGTTTTGCATTGATGAAACCCCATTTTCACAGAGACCCTCCATAATTTTGTGTGGCACAACCACCATGGTATAAAAGATAGATTCAAAACAGATTTAGCAGCTCAAACAAATGGCGAATGCTGGAGAGAATCAAGTCTAGCAGCATCTTTGGAAAGAGAAACAGGAGTTAATATTTTGCAATTGGAATAACTTCTTCACGAGCAGTTCAAATCTGGATATCCACGGCATGGGCCTAATTGAATAAGGGTTAGAGAATAGGATGCCAGGGGCCGCATTGTTAACAATCAGGGGCAAACCTAGTGAAGCTATTTGTATACGAAACAATAGAAGCAATATACAATAGATAAAGTGAAGCAATCCTGCAACCAACTGACAGGACTGAAACTCGGCAGTCTGCCTCTTCTAGTCTTGAATTGGTCAGCGGTGACAAAGCTCCATAACACCCCTTCTCAATAATGGGGAAACCCAGTACATCAATGTAAAAGAAAATACAAGGTTGAAGCATTTGCAACCATCCTCAAACTGGAACATCAAGCAGATGATCTAGCTCAAGCTCCTCATACAACGCTGGCCTCACAGATACCAGTTTTCACATTATTTCCACCAGAAATGGAAGCAGATTTGGTGGTAGTTGTTGAAAATATTATGAAGAGATGTTAAGCAGATCAGTAATTATTCAGAAACCAAAGCTTTCAAAGCACAGTATTCCAAAATATATTATTTCCTTCAGCGCAATATTGATAAATGTTGATAAATTGTAATCAAAAGTTACCATTATTCAAACTTATTGGATTTAATCAACATGATATAGGAAAACTAAATATGTAGTTAAAAACACAGCCAAATTTCAAGTTAATAAAACTAATTATTGTGGACCAATTTTAAAATTTAATTCTGTTTCTAGGTTTACGGTGAATGATAGAGACCACTGGTAAAAATTCATAAAATGGATAAATTGCAAAGGTGTTTTAAGAAGAAAACTGTGATGCTCCATTACTTGAAACAGAACTGAATCTAGTCATAAAGGTAAAGATTGTAGACAGGAAGTGCATATTTTAACTGGCTAAAAATAAGATGAAAATTTGCAAGATGAATGCTTCAAAAATTAGACAAAAAAAAAACAAAACAATCCTCTGCATATGAGCCTTTTAACATATGTCAATGTTGTCAAAAAGTGAAGCAATTTACAAACCACGCTGATCTACCCATTTCCTGAGCAACTAACCTTGTTTTTCTCTATTAACTGCTGTTCCAAATCTTGGTTGTCTTGTTGAAGCTGTAAGGTATACGAGATTGTCACATCTCCATTTTGTCCTTTTCCATCATTTTTTGGGGGATGTAACTGTCCATTGAGAGCTGCCACCTCTGCTTCTAGATCATTCACCTGTCAAAGCAATGTGCATTTCTTTAATGATTCACAGAAACAAAGTTAGGAATCTTGTAGGCCTGAGTACAAGACACAGAATTTTATAAAAGCTGAAAAAAATAATATTCAATTGCAAACACAGAGTAAATACCAAAGGGAAAGCTGTTCCATCCAACAGCACAATTTTTTTAAAAAATTAAAATAAATAATATTTACTTCTCAAGTTAAAAATCATTAGAATAATTTTATCTTTTTTTAAATTACTTCCCAAGTTAAAATTAACTTTTTAATTTAAAAGAAAAATCGTTGTGCAGTTGGATAGAATAGATTCCCCTTTTCTCCAGTAAGATGAGTTTATTCATGGCTAGCTGATCTCAGTTAAGGTAATGGTAAAAGTGACAGAATTATTGCAACATTGCTGGGTTAAAATAATCAGTGTTCCTGGTCACTATCTATCCTGTTAGAAGTCTAAGCTCACACATGAAGAACAGCCACTTCAGCAAGGTATCACTCCACGACTCAGCTGCAGAATATTGCAGAGACAAAATTTTTCTGGAAAAATAAGGAGCTAGAAACAGTGAGGAAAAGAAAATCAAAACTATCAAGTTTTAAAAACTCACCAAACATTAACTGGCCCATTATCAGAGCCACAATCTCCAATAATTTTGTTGCCACTTGAAAGAATGTGGATTTTCTGTTCCACTTAAAATAAGAGAATTCCACATTGCTCCCTTAGAAACAGCCCATTTAGTTTTACAGGTACAGGCCATGAATAACAGAAAGCCCTTACAGGCCACCCCGGCTGCTGCGCATATTGCGGATGGAGGAGAAAAAAACTGGACACAAGACAAATCAAAACAGATTCCAGATGAAGGCTTGGCTTTGACCATCGGAATTCATAAATGGATTGCATTACAATACAGACTTCATGAAATAGAAGATATGCCAGATAAGTGCTGCAGCCTGTATTATTTATTGATACCCGATGGCCTTCAAGGATTCACAATACTGTCTGAATCGGAATTTCCCTCTCTTCCAAGGAAGCAGAAAATTATGCACATATCTCCTGAAGAACCAAAGAATCTTTGGTTACTACAATGCTTGGGGTCAGCCATCACATTAATTTGTTAATTTGTTTTTGAAAAGTGACATGTCATTTGAGGAACAAACAAAACCAGAGGTTGCTGGAGAAACTCAGAAGGTCTGGCAGCATCTGTGGAAGGAAAACAGAATTAATGTTTCAAATTCAATGACCCTTCTTCAGACTGAATTTGTGTCATTTGTAGTTATCATCTGATAGTGTCCCAGTTAACCATATATGCAAGATAGTAGTTTGTTCTGGTGGAGATTATTAATACACTTTTTTTTTTTAAACAGATAGGCACAGATAGGACCATATAAATGTTCCATATCTGCAAGATCACTTCTTGGCAGTAAAACAAAGGAAAAATAATTAACTTTTAAGATGTTCTTCTTTCTCACAAGATTGTTTTATATTGATCCAGAGCACTGAAAGGTGACCTCACAGAAGATCAATAAGAAATAATATTTGATTTGTAGTTACATTAAAGTATAGAACACCCAGTAACTTGCAGTGACATTCTGTACCGAAATTCGCATGTTTAAATTATACACATGGCTGAGAAAGCTAACATACCTTTCTCTCACTGGCTGCCAGGAGTTCTTGTCTCTCGATCAACTGCAACTTGAGGTCACTCAACTGGTTCTGAACTATCCCTTCTCTTTCTGCTGTTGAGCTTTTAAAATTTTCACTTTCCATTTGTAGCTGATTCATCTGTGATATCACAGCTCCATGGTCTAGAGGTATGTTAAAATGGATTTTCTAAGATGTGGGTTACAGTTGATTCTATTAAGATCCACTTATCCCTTCCACAAGTAAAACGTTTCTCAATCATAACACAAAACACTATGATTGCAAAACACATGAAGGTTTGTCTTTCTCATGTAATAGTTTGTATTCTTTACTGCAAGCACAAATATAGAAAAGATGCACAAGTTTTCTCTGATAAACAAAGGATCTGATACACAATGAATAATTTTTATTTTGTAAGAGACCATATCTTGCAGTTCCATAACCAATCCACAAGGTAACTGGCCTAAGATTTCACTGTTAAGTGATTAGCTAGTAGACAGTGCATGAGACCAAACATGGAAAGTACCTAAAAGTTTTCTTCCAAAAGTCTAGTTCTAATTATCATGGAACAGGATAGCAAGCCAGACCAAATCAGTTTCGCTATCACTAGATCTGCACCACAGTAAATTCAATGCCTCTCAAAACTGCTCAACTGTTCCTAAAGAGACTTTACAAATAACAGATCTTGGATACCAAGTTTACAGCTTAAACAAAACTTGATATTTTATTATTAATAATGGAACTTTAGCAGAGCACAGATGAATTACAAAACAATCTAATTAATATGCACAATTTAAACCCAACCTTCTTTGAATATAAAGCCCCACTTGCACACTGACAGACACAGTTAAGGAATAAATTAAGAAAGAAAATTAAAAAAAAAGTGAAAAATTGCTAGTTTGGTAGCATTTCAATGACAAATACCAGTCCTTCATGAAATCCTTGGAGGATAGGTTGTATTACAAACATGCAGGACTGTGTATCTTGCTTGAATTCTGAAGTCACCAGTAAATACAAATAGTTTGTGTGACTTCTGGAGACTTATTTCTTTCCTACAGATTGGGTTTTTCCTCAGAATTTTCAACAAGTTGATAACTGGAGAATAACGAGAGAAAGAAACCAAAAGCCCAGCCCAGTCCAGAAGCTCCCGAAGCAAAAACTGCCTCCTGCCCAAAATCCAGTCAGAGCTTGTTCACACTTTGTTTTTTCTTTCTTCTTCAACATTCCCTGTGATTAGCTGACCAGCACCAGTCCTCCCTAAATTCATCAATTCAACATCTAATCAGCTGCCAGTCTCTGTGCTTAACAACATCTCCTTGCCAAATTGCCCAGAGAGCTATTAGAGCAATAATTAACCTGCATTATCTTTTCAGGCCAGTTCCCAACAGCAAACATCAGTCTTTGTTTTTTTGCCCCCCAAAATAAGCTGCCATTCAAAATTCAATTTTCAACTTTAACTCAACTCAAAACCAAAAATGAGAAAAATAAAAGAATAATAGTGACAGTCTCAACATAATCAAAAACTCAATAAGAAAGTTTTGTTATGAACATTTTCAGCAGTATCCAATTTAGCACAATCCTGAGAATAAGGCCAAAAGGCTACAACCAAATGAGTATTTTAAAAATTGTAATACATGCATTGACTTTATCCATTCTGACCTATTTCATTGATACATGGATTTCTGTTTTCTCTTGTTCTTGTTAAATTAACATATTCATTTTCCAGAAATCAAACCCAAAGTTCAAATTGAGCTTGTACCCATAATTTGAGCTTCAACTGTAGTACAATGCTTATACTTTTAAATTATACATTTTTGACAGTTTTTCGCTCAAAAGTTGCTTGATCTTAAATAAATCATATTTTTCAAACCTTGCTCAAGTTGCTTGAAATCTTCTTGCATTTTGATTAACTCTTTATCTTTCTGCAAGTCTGAAGTATTTTTTTCATCCAGCATTTGTGTCAATTGTAAGACCTATCATTGCAAAACAAATACATGAAGAAAGGCAACAAAATAATCATAAACAAAGTAAAGCTCTTGTGGTCAAATTATTGAAACCAGTGTTCAATTCCAGACTTATTAATTGAATTTAAATTTCACCAAATGCCATGGTGGGATTTGAACCCTCAGCCCCACAGCACTCAGCTAGGCCTCTGGACTACTGCACTATCATGTCTATTATGCCTCTCTCTCTCGCACGTTCTCTCCTTCTCATCAACATTACAGCTTTACTGTAGATGTACATTCACCCAATACTTTGCCATTTGAATAATAAAGGCCATAACTCATAATATGGGCTCAGTTTTTAAAAGTTACTTTACATATTCCTGTGTTTCATTTCCTGGAACTTCTCAGCATTATGGGAGTCAACAAAAGGAAAATCTTCCATGAACTTTCAAACTGATTTGCCTCAACTCCAAGAATTTTAAACTGATCAGTACATTACCTGAAATTTTCCAACAGACCCTTTTCAACAGTAGCTTTATTGTTTCCTTCAAAAACCTTACCAGGATATCTTGAATTTTGAATGTTTCATTCAAATTTAAGCAGTAAAAGACCAGTCACACACAAACCAAACCAATTGTGCAGCAATGGATTATTTATTTTTCTTTGTCTATAACCGAGTAAACTTGTAATTGTGTGCTAATATGAAGTTAACACAGGGATCTAAACAACAGTGGTTT